GTGTGCCAACTCATGATGTGTTTGATTCTTCCCAAACTCTCTTCGGCAGTAGTGCACGACTTTAGACGGTGTCTGGAACCTGGAATGGGTGACCTTCGTATCCCCAGTAAGGTCCTCGAACTTTTGGAGCAATGGGCTTGTGTCCTTACAGGTCATGCATCGGTTCACAACAATCACCAGCCTTGGCATACTCCGGTGTGTTGAATGCTTTACGAGTAATATGGGCACAAACTACAGTAGCCACAGAACTGCAGCAGCTTATTCGCAGCCTACGGACCGGGACGTGTTTTTTTTTTCTAAAAAAAAATCAGAGGTCACGGTCAAGGTGAAGGCTGATACCACCACCACGCCACGGAGGCCTGCGAACTCGAAGCCGAAGTTCGACGTCAATGTAAGTCATGACGGAATGATACGTCGTTCTTACTTTAGACGGGTGCTTGCAATTAACCAGGATATGCAATCTGTAGAGATCATAATCAGAATAAAACCTACTAATACCACCATGACGATGCCTATGAGCCTGAAGATATGGAGCTTGAAGCCACTCTGCCTCACGAGCTCATGTGGAACCGGAAATCGACCTAATACAGTCCATCCACTGGAGGAAGTCGTTCGTCCTCTTTGCATAAAGAGAGGTCTATGCAATTGATCAAGATATGTTTTCTAAGACACTGCTGGAGCTCGAAGTCGGTCCTTCCCCCCGCACTGTCAATGTTAGGGTGAAACCAACTATGAAGCTTGAGAGAATATTCGACGTCGCTGAAGTGCGTTCTTTTGTGCAACATACCCATAACTTCAACTTGTGTGCCTCACCTGTAGCAACGATATTATGATATTATAAACGAGAAATGCGCCCCATATCGCGCTCACATACCAGATCTAGATACGTTAACCTTCCGCTACATTTACGAAGGTTGCCGTCTGGAAACGAAGCTTCAGTGAGTTTACACACGTACATTCAACTGCAACTCACTTGTGAACTTATTTCCCTAGGTAGGTATGGAGGATGGGGATACAATTATTATCATTCTGCCAATGGTAAGCGCCGCTTCATCTTATTACCGAACGACCTCCACTGAGAAATTTCCTATCAGTTTAGCGAATGGGTATGTTAGATAGGAGTCGCTGGATCTGTCTGTACAGGATATTTGGTCATTATATGTCCCTCCAAAGCGTTGGTTTGCTTCAAGATCCTGCCTTGATGAGATGTGGCATAGTCTGCATCGAACTTGTACCGAAAACTGAGTATCGGTGAGTTTTGGATGTAAAACCAACACATCTTCAAAGTCGCTCTTGAACTTTGAACTATGTCGATGGTGGGGCGAGCTATCATTGTCAAGCAGAGCTACATCTGAGGCCAGCGGATGTGGTTACTCGACCACCATAGATAGGAGCTGACTGCATATAATTATCGCTCTCAGGCACCTTTCTTCCCAGAGCCATAGGTCGAGGCGCAAGGTATCTGAGATCTTCACCAGCAATGTTTGATGTTTGATGCCACCTCGAGGAGCCAATACCGTGATCGACCTGCATGCCTTCTTGGTCAGTGTTCTTGAGTGTTGCACGAAGTATATCAGCATCATCGATACCATCGATACCTCAATGCATTTCAATTGGTGGCTGAGGTGTTTCGCGACAAGAGAAAATATTTGGAAAATATTAATTTGTTCGTCACGTCGACGCGTTACATCCAAAACCTTGTTGGTGTGACCCTGCCCCCCTTCGCTGTCCACCGCGCCGTCCTCTGTAAACTTCCTGTTGTACTATCTCTTATAGCGACAAAAATGTCCCAGGAGCCTGAAGACGTGAAGCCAAAGCTCAATATCAATATCATCTATGAAACCACCCGTTCGTGGTTTTCGCGTTTCGAGCGAGTGGTACATTGACTAGGATACAGGAATCACGGTCAAGGTCAAGGCAAATATGAAGTTTGCAAAGATTTTCGCGGCCGCGGAGGTACGTTCTTTTGTTCAACAAATATGTATCCTGCGATTCATCTTGTGTGGCATGTAGCAACGATTTGAAAAGGAGCCAGGCTAGTCCTATCGCGAACTTTGGACTGTAATAATAGCCCACTTACCTACACTACGATACGCGCTTCGAAAACACAGGTACATTCAAGTTCGTATTCGAAGGCCAGCGCGTGATGGCTGAAGATACACCAGCTTCAGTGAGCCACAACATTACTACCCGCAATTTACTCGCTGACTCTTTTCCTAGTTGAACATGGCTGATGGGGATCAGATTGACGCTTTCCTCCAACAAGTGAGCACAGATTCATCTCGTTGCTCTGACAAGCCCAACCCATGATACTTCTATTAGATCGGAGGGGGACCATAATGACATCGAACCAATATTATTATGAAGCATAGACTGTAATTTATCCGCATATCTAGTCATCTATCTCTATTGGAACATCTTGGTGCGTTTGTGTACTTGTCACGTTGTGTCCCACCTTATAGCAAACTTCCTTTCTCACATCTTTGTCTTGTTGCATTGCTCCTTCCAAAACAGGCATCAAGACATCTGCTGCAGCACTACCTTGATCATGGCCATGAATTGGTCTCGAGCGTTGTGCGTTCTGCGTGAGCCACAATGATTCTGTTTTGCAACGGATGTCATGGATATTTTAGTCGCCAAGTCACCAAAGCCTAAATATGCGAGGGGTGGACTCGATTGCCTCCTGACTCTTCCATGCCCCAAAGCGCGACCTTGTTAGCACAGTTGAGGATTGACATCGCCTTTTGACCTACAAGCTGAGCCACTGGGATTAGCGTTTTCCCTCATCGTGCTAGGTATAAGACCATTTAAAGGACATGGTATCGATCCCTCGCAGCTGACACTACCTTTCAAAGGCCAGCCTTGCCTCGAGAGACCTCCATTGCCACTCATTGATCTTGGCGCCGCCACTTACATCGTTATCCATGATCACGATGCTTGGATAACGATGTACGATAATGCATATACAGACAACCGTTGGCAAATGGCGGGATCCCACGCCAAACTGAGGCCTGCTTAGCGATGGCTGGACGTCATGTCACATAAAAATGCGCGGCGGGGCTCTTATATGTAGGCAGGCCTGATTTAATTTAATTTTGAAGCTTCAAGCAGACATCATGACCACCATTGAGGAATACGACGCGAACTTTTGTTTCCCCGTGAAGGATCTGGAAACTGAACGCGTCAAACTCACTCATTCTTGGTAAATATCTATGTATGTCGAGAAAGAGACGTTGTAACTGACGCATATCATTCTCTAGCCATACAAACACGCCGACGCGTTTTATCGGATCCGAAGGCCATCGTATGACAACTTACCATTCGGTATGACACCGCTGGAGACTTCGTCTCCAGCCTTGCCAAACGTTTAATCCACCCCAATCCAGGAAATCTGTTGTTTGCTGTGTACAACAAAACAAAGGCGTCGTAAACAGGAGACCTAGGTGGTGCTTTTACAGGTGCCATGGGTGCGGTAAAAATTGCCTGAGTTCTTATTTCGCCCGAGTTTCAGCGTAACCGCGTCACGACGAACGCGATCGGGCTCCTGCTTAAATACGAGCTGGACCTCTCAGAACAGGGAGGCTCAGGGCCTCGTCGTGTCATCTGGCATGAACGCACCCAGCCTAGAGGCAGCTGATGGGGTTTCAAAGAGAGGCATACTTGGAATGGACACGCGTGATGCACGAGATCAATCACGTTGGGAATGGTCGGGAGACGAGAGCTTGAGATCCTTTGCTTGGTCGAAATGCAATGACATTGGCTGTTGGATGACTGGGAAGGCGTGTCAGACGCTTTGATTGCAAAAGTTGGATTGGTTGGTGTCGCTTCTGGCCTTGCCTCAACAGCTAACCGCTTATCGATGGCACCATCATCAACATCTTGACAGTGGTACATGGTTATGATACACGATAAGGTGATCTTCATATAACAATGGCCAGTACAGCTGGGACCCCGCAGCGGAGGCCCGCTCCAGTCATATCGCATCAAAAAAAGGTACGACCAGTTTTATATAAATAGATCGACCTAATTGAATTGAATTTTTAAAGGAGTCACAAAGCAGTCATCATGACCACCATTGAGGAGTACGACGCAAACTTTTGTTTTCCAGTGAAGGACCTGGAGAGTGAACGCGTCAAACTCACTCCATTCCTGGTAAATATCAATCATGTAGGTCGAAAAAGCTTTCAACTGATTGATCTTATAGCCGTCCAAACATGCCGACGCGTTTTACCAGATCGCAAGGCCATCGTATGACTACTTACCATTCGGTCCATACGACACTGCTGAAGACTTCGTTTCGGGTCTTACCGAAGGGTTAATCCATCCTAATCCTGCAAATACCTTGTTCGCAGTGTACGACAAAACCAAGGCATCGGAAACCGGGCACCCAGACGGTGCTTTCGCGGGTGCGATGGGATATTCGAATGGCTCTTCTCCCAACCTTGCAGTAGAGATCGCCTGGGTCCTTATTTCGCCCGAGTTTCAGCGTACCCACGTCACGACGAACGCGATCGGCCTTCTACTTAACTACGCGCTCGATCTTCCAGAGAAGGGGGGGCTTGGCCTTCGTCGCGTTGTTTGGCAGTGCAGCCCTTTCAATGGGCCCAGCCTAAAGGCTGCAGAGAGGATGGGTTTCAAGAAGGAGGCGTACTCGAGATGGACCTATGTGATGCCTGAGATCAAACACATTGGAAATGATCGAGAAAGAAGGGTCGGAGACCCTAAGCCACATCTGCTTGGCCGAGATACGGTGACATTGGCTGTTTGTTGGGATGATTGGGAGACAGGTGTGTCAGAACAAGTAGATGCGTCGATTGCGAGAGTTGCTTAGCCGGACGGATGCCTGCTTTCCGCACAATATGATATCTGGGCCTGGTTCTCTTCGCGGTTTCCGCCGTTCGGTGCACTCTTTGAGAACGAACCGCTTTCACCTGCACTGTTTGGATCGGGGTATTTTCTATACAGGTGTTGAGTATAAATTAGGCTAATTTAAATATGCCAATGTGGCTCAATGGTAGAGCATTGCTTTCCTATATTGCGTAGGCAAAGGTTGTGGGTTCGAGCCCCATCATTGGTTTATTTGCATGGCCCGTGAGTTCGTTTTTGTTGCGAGGCGTAACAGCCACCGTCGGTTGTCCTTGCGTGACTTCTCTTGCAAGTTTTCCCTGAGATTCGCTATATTCTCTTTGTTCAATGGCCCGATAGGGAAAATCATGGGCTGTCAGCTTCAACAGGAGAGGCACCTCCGAGATACAAAGCTTAATGATTCACCACAGCTAACCTTTCGATGTTGTACTATTCATGTAATCGTCACATGAATATTAAGCACTACACATACACCAGAATAATGATAGAGATAAAATATTAAAGTAGTGGTCAATGAAAAACATGCAGATTAATTTCAAGGAGAGCGAATCGAGAGCAGCAATGCGACTAAACATAACGAGAAAACCTCGTCGAGTAACACCCATCTAAACGAGAGGAAGAACATGGTCATCGTCGTTGGAATCCAACATCCTCTAATATTCCCGAGTCATGCATGAACGAGCTCCACCTTTCATCGACTGCTGCTGCTGCTGCGGATACGCCTGGTGCTGTAAATCAGACTGCGGGTATGTGTGTTGAAACTGCTGGATGTGTGCATGTGGGTGAACCGCGTATGCATGCAGGGGGTGCTGCTGAGTGCGATATGTCTGCTGCGAATGCTGCGGAGGAAGGCCATGTGCGGCAGGAGATGTATAAAACTGGGGGTGGGATGATGAGACGACCCTCGAAGGAGGCATCATCTGCATCGACCCCTGCCTCTGGTGATGTGGGTATCCCTGGACATGGAGGGGGCGATCGTCCTCCCACCCACGGGGAGCGGGCCCGAACTCGGGCTCGAGCTCGAGATTGCGTGTGCTACGCTCGGAGGAGGCGTACGGGTAGTGCAAGGGAAGTGGGAGTGGGAGGGCCGAGGTATGGAGATTCCTGGCCGGAAGGAGTTCCTCCGTCGGCGAGACGTTGATGTACCCCACCGAGCCCGAGCTAGGACCCGGCCACCCATTCACTGGCCCCGACGACGGGAGCAGTGGTGGGGGCGGGGGCTGAGTGCGGACAGGCGATTCGACCAGGCTAGAAGTGGGATTAGAATTCAAAGGCTTCCTGGAAGACACAAAACGCGTATGCCCCGCAAATATCGCGAGCTCGTCGTCCGAGTCCTGCTCCTGCTTCATAGATGGGATCTTCCACAAAAGCCCACCAGCCATTTCCCCGAGGGACGATGGATCCTTCTGTGCCGTAGCCAGTGCGTGACGGGCTTTCTCTGCGAGTTTCGACAGGATCGGCTGCGATTATTTTCTCAGTCACATATTAGAGAATTAAACATAAAACGGATCCTACTAGGGCTTTGGTAGCGCGGATACTATGCACGCTTGCCTTGGAGAAGAGTATACATGCCTGCTCGAGCTCCCCCATCGCTGACTGTGCCAAAGGCGACCGTGGGCCGCGCGTTACCACTGTTCCGAACACGACCTATAACACAAACAACCTCAATCAGTCACTCGAAATAACAAAAGATGAGAGTGAGGAAGATAACGCACCGCAGCCGAGAATGCGAACGTCCACATGGTCCAAAAACGTGCGCACGCGATTGGCCAAATACCAAATTGCTCACGCACGCTCTTGAGGATCGTCGATGCCGCGCGGTACGCAGCAAGAAAGCTCGGAGCGTATGCGCTCTTCAGGGGGTTCGCGGGGTGCTCAATTATCGCCTGCGCGAAGAAGGAACGGTGGATGTACATTAAGACTATGATGGAAATGTTGGGATCAGCATCGAGAGACGGTGGAAGAGGAACAAACGTACCCGTCTCTCGAATATGGTCCAACACACAGCGCTGGAACGACCCCGCCATATCGCTTTCCTGCGCGCCTTCTTCACCCTGCTTCTCCTTCCCTTTACTGCTACCGCCAGCCGAGTCCATCCCTTCGGGCAGAGGGAACTCTCGCACCTTCTTATCAAGCTCCATGATCGTCGCGTACGTTGGAGCTTCTGCGGTGAGTGTACGCGCAGTCACGTCAGCTACACACTCAGCGGCAAAGCGGCATTGCCATGTGCTGACTGCAGTTGGAGTGGGTGTCAGTGGGAGTTCAGAAGGGGGAAGAAATAAAGACAAGCCATACACGCAGAACCGAACCCCGCTTCCGCACCCTCCGAGCCCTCCAGTCCGTCCTTCGCATCTGGGAAGCTGCAGTCGATGTACGCGAGGGAAAATGACGGTGGACGCCCCGTGTTGAGACTCTTAATTATGTATGAAAATCGTGATTAGTATAGTGATCAGGAAAAGGGGATAGATGAAGCTTACCTGCCATACGTCAGCAACAAAAAGGTCCCAGAAGAGTATGCGTCGGCGCTGCACCATTTTGGGTGTTAAGCCCCAGCGCGCGGAGTCACGATCTACATTGATCGAAAATAAGGTCAGCAATTTCGAGGATAGAAAGAATAAGGGGGGGAGAAATTTAAGCTGAACAAAACAGTGCTTCATTAAGACAATGACGAAAACAACTCACGTAGCCCAATCTAGTGTCCCCCAAACAATCGGTAAGAAAATCATCAACCAAAACCAAAAAGACTCACAGTCATACTCAGATGCCCTGCAAGCGTAATTAAACTCCACGTCATTTCCATGCTCGTCTCACTCTTCAAATCACTGCCACTCATCGCATTGTATATGCTGAGAAGGTGCAAGGTTTGTACCGTGACAAGGGACGGCTTCTCGAGTATGGGCTGGAGGGTGAGGGCGGCGCGTGCAAGATGGTAGTAGTGTTCGCCGAGTGCGCTAGAAGTAGAGGAAGAGGAAAAATGTGAAGACGAGATGGTGGAAGCGACGGAGGCTGGCGATGAATTAGGGTGCTGTGGATTCGCAGCTGGTGGCGGGGTAGCTTTGGAGTGGTGTGAGCGTGAACTTGAAGACGTGGGGTTGTTGTCGGTGGCTGAGCTGCTACTTGGCCGGACAAGCGCTCCGATGGCGAATATTATAAGCACCAGCGCGAGGTCATGCGGGCCGGAAAATTCCCCCTCCTCCTTGTTGCCCTCCCTTTCCGCTTCCAACCGTGAGTATATGGCGGGGATCATGTCCACCACGATTTGCCCCTTCGTAACGCCATGGAATAACCAGCTGCATTGCTGCAGGTACACGTGTACGAGTGCGTCTGCTGTGGCGCGGGGCGGAAGGTGGGAGGCGATGAGCGCCTGGACACCTGAAGGGGATCCTAAAGGGGTGAATGGGAAGGCGGCGGAGAAGAGGGCGAGGGGGTCAGCGGACGCAACTGTTGAGGATGGGGAGAAAGAGGCCGATGTGAGATGTGGCGAATCGAGCGGAGAAGACGGGTCGGGTGTTGTGGTTAAATTTGACTGCAGCAAATAATAATTAGTTTTATGGTGGATAAGTGGGTTGACGGGCACATACGATGAGGAGCGACTGTCGAAAATTGATCACGTCAGCAAGAAAATAATTAAACGGGGAAAGCAACGAACCTCGACGCCGCCCGTTGGTCCAAAGAATCTCGATATTCCATGGTCAGAGATACTTAGCGTCCCAAATGCATCGATTACATCTCCGCCTGGTTTATCGCTCCTTTCACCGTTTTCAATCCCCCTATCCCCGTTTTCGTCCTCGTCCATCGCTAGGTCATCCTTTACAACAAGATCAGGGTGCAGCAAAGGATGGGAGGCCTGCAGGGACGTGAGGGCGTCTTCGAGCAGCCGAATACGCGCACTAAGTGTGCCGATCCGCCGGTGGAGGTGCTCAGTCGCGGCGAGCACGAAGCGAGTGCCTTGTCCTGTGGAGAGGCTGCCTGGAGCCGAGTTACGGTGTTATCACAAATTTAGGCGGTGAACTCACCATTAGGACAAAGAGCGGCGCATCCTCGGCGCTAATGTCGATGTCCAACTTGTGAGCCATTGCCTCAGACACACAAAGAGTTTGAACATACCTGACAGGACTGACACGGAATTTGCTTGTCGCATTTTATCTTGAGCCTGATATCGTTAGTCAATTATATGAACAAGACAATCATTGTGCGATCATCGCACCTTCGACATTCCGCGCAACTGACCTAGAGTCGCGGCATACGTCAGGAACCCCATTCAGCAGTGTTCATCTATAACTTATAACGTACCTCGCCTGATGAAGCTGGTTAGAGAAGTGGAACATGCTATTAGGAGAACGCACCTCTATTCCTCTTCAGCTCCAATTCCCTCGCATGCCCCGCATCAAACCTTCCTCCATGACCATATTCGTCCGAAAGATCTTTAGCCCTGCTCAAGCGCCGTTTGAGCTTTGCCTGCGTGAGCTCTGCAGGCATCTGATAGACTTTGCTCTCGTCGTGGGTGTTGCGTATGGAATATGAGTGTGTGTGTGTGAACGAGTTCTTATTTTGTAGGCCCACCAAGTTCTCTTGACTTAAACTGGATTGATCAGGACGCTTTTCTCACGCCCACCCGATATAGACAATAGCTTCCGAAGATCCCCATGGTGGTTGTTCACAACTCCCTTGCCAATACGCAGCGCATCCTCCGCAGTGTACCCGCATATATGTTTAGTGCTAAAATATAATGCTGTGTGTATATTAACATCAACTCTCTGCGTACATTCGGCATGGTGGCGTTTACAATGAGAACGAGGGGTCATGGTCGATCTGCGCGGGGGTGAGGGGAAAAAGAGGGGGGATTTAGGGCCTGCTTCGGCTACTTTGCGAACACTTTATTAGCCGACGCGTATGGACTTGCTGCTCTTTGCTGCCATTCGCTGGATGTTTCGGAGCCGTCGGTTTTGACATACATACATAGTACATAGATCGCCATCTCTTCTGCGAAGCTCTCTGGTGGGCCCAGTGCGGCCTGCACCGCGGTACCGACCGTAGTACACCGTGTCACATGTGATCAGTGCCTTAGGCCTTATTATCCTTACAAAGACCTCTCTCTGGCCGTCGGATCCGAGTACTCGTTTTGGACTTCAAGAACTCCTGATTTTCTGCTCAGATCCATCGTGATAATGGCAGGGTACATATGGCCACCAACGATACCCCCTTCCCATC